AGATTACGTAGCCAAAACCTACGCGCGGCAAACGCGAGGTGACCAAACGCGAGGTGACCAGCGTGGGAGAAAGTTGTTGTAGTGACTGACTTGTAGCAAGATGTGAACAGGCTAGAATGACTGTGTGTATTGTGATGTTGAAAAGAAAGGAAAGGCAAAAGGCAACGGGTCCTTTTCGGTAAATATATGCCGGTCGTTGCACTTTGCAGGTGACTCAGACCGACCTGTACTTAGCTCATCCCAAGACTAACCAATGAAGAGGCCAGGAAGTGGTAAGGTTCTGACTAGGTACGGTACTGTGTATGAGGAGTGGAGGAGAAATTCGGGCGAGGACTGGAGAAATTGGTGTTCGCAACTTTGGTCAGTTAATCCTGCCACTCTTACCACTCCCAGTTCTCAAGTGTGCCCGCCGTGGTTGCCTGGAAAATACACACACGAACATGACGTAACATCCTTTCATCCAATTCCAACGTAAAATAGGCAGGTGGCATTTGAGGCTAGACCCAATCACTTCCACTTCGTTTGCTTCAGGGCAGGAGCAGTCATCGGTCATTTCATCCAATCTATCACTCACTGGCCGATACCTCTAAGCGCAGTGTCAAGCCGAACGCATCCATGTCTTCCGCTTAGTTTCTCCTGTATTGGGTTGTCCCTCCTAGCTTGTACTCTAATCTGATCCGTGCTACTCCGACACCTATCCATCACAGTTCCCCAGCCAAGTCTGCCCTCATTGACTCGTGGAGTTGCCAAGTCACCATGGCTGTGATGAAATCCTCCCAGTTGAACCGGATCTGCCTGCCATCTTCAGAGACCTCCAATCCCTCCAGGTTGACAGCGCCCTTAGGCGTATTGTACATGTCCATGAGCCGGTTCCAGTATCTCTCCTCGCGTTGCAGACTCTTGGAACGGATTCCCACAATGAGGTAACTCGTGGTTCTCTGTCCACGATAATCGTCCCAGGCGTTGACGAGATCCTCCATCATTTCCTCCAGGGTGATGTCTCCCTCGGTGACGAACCCGCTCAATTCAGGCCTGTAGAGGAAGAACGTGGCCTTCTTGTCGGGTTTGACCCTCACTTTGGTGTGAATGCAATCTTCGGACTCGGGAAAGTGGAAGTAGCGAAGAAAGGGAGTGTCAAACTCGGCGTCAAGGCACAGGTAGAGCGTCATCCTGCTCAGCCATTCGTCCTGGAAGTGGCGCTCGATAAGATGTCTCTGGCGCCTGAAGAGAGTCTGGTGGCGAAGCTCCCAGGCCTGGAGCGACCTAGCAGTGCCGATGGAGGCCCAGTTCGGGGAAATCTCTACAAGGTGTCCGTCATCGTCGAAGGTACATTTGTCGTCGAAGAAACAGCCGCTGATGTAGCTTTCAATGAGGGAATTGAAGATTTTCTGGACGAGTTCAATAGGGAGCTCTCCCCAAATCGGTGAAAGTACCCGTTTGTTGGTCCACATTTGGGCAATGACTGTGTTGTGTCAGGCAAAGGCCCATTGGGGGTTCTCGGCAGTGCCTTCCATTGCTCTGAATAAAGGGACGAATGTCAAATTGATGGTTTGAAGTAGATAGCGACGCTTCTTGGAGTCAAGCGAGACGATGACCCGGTTGATTGAAGGGTTGCTCGTGGGCTCCTTGGTTGATTGGACGCGCAAGTGTTGTGGTAGTAACTGTGAAGTTGGGCCGGTTGCCAGGTACATATAGCTGGGGTGATGTCAAGAAAAATTGTTTGGAGGTAAGAAGTGGAAGGTTCTACTGATTGCTAAAACACTGTCGTTTGAAAGTGCTGACCTAACAGGAAGGAAGGGTCTGAAGCACAAGACACAAACATATTACCAGTAACTTTTAAAAATTATTTTAAGGGCAATATAAAAGCACAGATGCAGATACCTAGAGGTGGAAGGTAGATAGACGACGCACATGCAAGCGATTTATGCTTGTGCAGACCGCAGCACCGGAACCCATACGAACAATTCTGGGCAGTGATGCAGACACTGGAAGCAAGTTGGGATAACATGAAACCAAACAGCAAGTAAGAGCAAACTGACAAACCTGAGGTAACAAAGCAAAGCCAAGTTGAGGAGAAGACAAGCAACGCGAAAGTTTCCATACCGGTTCTTCCTTCGCCTAGACGCCCACGCTTCTCTACGGCAACCAGTTCCACTTGTCATGATTTCATGCTTTTCATGGATCACCATCATGATCACCGAACATCTCCACCAAATCATCCACCAACTCCCTCCACCTAAACCGAATTCTCTTTCCATCCTCTAGCACCTCCAGACCCTTCAACTCGACACTATGTCTCGTAGAGTTATGCAAGAACCAATCCTTACCCCGAATGAACGAAGTCTGATCTTTCCCCTGTTTAGGACCACGAATGTCCACGCTAGTTCGAGACTCCGCGCCGAAATCCCAGGCAAAATGGACGGCGCTGGCAAAGTTGGAGACAGTCTGCGGATCAAAACCGTACTCTTCGTGGTAGTAGTCGACGTCGGAGACTTCTAGGATGGGGCCGTGGAGGAAGAAGGTGGCTTTTTCTGACTCAAGGTTGCCATTTTCATAAGGGATAAGGTCGACATGTAAGGATAGACATATTTCGGTGCTGGGATCCTTATCGTTGCCGTCGTTAAAGGTTAACTCCAGGTCGGGAAAGTGCAAGTATCGGCGGTAGTACTTCATCCTGTGCTGATCCATGTATTCGTCTGAGGCGTCGTCAAGGAAGAGGTAAATGGTCGTTTGGGTTGACCAGTTGGTTAAGAAGTGTCTTTCGATTAGTCGCTTCTGGGATATGAAGAGTGGTTCTTGACAGAGAGATCCCGAGATTTCGCAGAGGCGGTCCGCGGTGGCGATGGCAATCTTCGGCTTGCCTGTGACTGATTGGAATACTTCTTGATCGAAGCCGGGATAAAAAGGGACGAGGATGTCTTGGATGAAGTGGTCGAGACTCGCACAAGTTCCGTCGGCAATGACTGCCAAATTGCTGGAAGCTCTTCCTCGAGGTGTGAATGTATTGAGACACTTGATGCTGATTGACTTACGTGAGGTAGTTCTTTCCCTGTGGTGTTCGTTTGTAATTGTGCGCACAGGGGGCAAGTGGTCATTTCCCGATGAGAATTTGGGAATAAGGTGAGGAGCGGTCGATGTGAGATGTCAAGAACAGCGGTAGCTGTATTTAGAGGTACGGTGAAGATTCATATCAGTCGCCCAAAGTCCCAAACTTGTACCCCTGCCTCCGGCTGCCTGGAAAGTGGAACTTTACCGAATCGAACCGAAAAAGGCACCCACCCCAACTCATAGTTGAGGTATAAACCATAACTCCAATGTGCCCAGGGGCACCGTAGATTCATTCTTGTCATCTGTCCTCCATAGCCCCATGATGTAGGTGAGCACCATCGTCATCAACTTCTTCCAGGGAAACCTGATGCGATCACCGTCGTCCAGTATCTCCCAGTCTTCAAGCAGACGCCGTGCAGTGGAGCTGAAAGATCTATGATGTCCATCTCCGTTCGGAGGTGGTGCAATATGAAGAGGGTAGCACTCAGTTCCGCCCGCGTTGATGACCTTATCCCACATACGAACGAGGTCAGCGCGGCGAGTGGCATTCAGCTCTGCGAGACAGAAGACGACTTTCTCAAGCTCGGGATTACCGTCGTTGCTGGGAGTCAGCTCAGGATCAAGTAAGACACCTAGAGACTTGTGCCCGTGGGAGGCGTGGGTGTATCTGCAACAGGATTCGAATCCGCTATGTCCTGGACCGCCAATGTAAATGGAGACTTCCACACAGCTGAGCCAGTGATCATGAAAATGACGCTCGATAAGTGACTTCCGGGATTTGAAGAGGTCATTATGTCGGAAGTTGAACCAGACATCCTCCAGGATAGCAGAATTTTCGGCGGTCGAGTAGATCTCAGAGGCTTTGCAGCAGGTAAGGAGATCTTCGATGAGGTGGTCAAGGATCTGTTGGACGAGCTCGACGTGCAGGAGTTGCCAGATTGACGAAAGTTCGAGTACATCCGACGGTATTGTCTGCAGCAATGCGAGGGGCCGGGCGGACTCAGCTGAAGTTTCCATGTCGTCGGCGATTGCTTGCGAGGCGGGAAGGGGTTCGTTATGTTGACCCAGTCTGTTGACAACCTGAAGAGTCAGAAGAGAGTTGGAAGAAGAAAACAATTTGAATAACGCTGGGAAACGAAGAAAGCAGCTGCCTTTATAGGTACATTTCGAGGTAGGCAGGTCGAGGTAGCAATATGATGACGTGTTCCCTGCTGTGCCATAGTCGTGCATCCCCCAATCGTTTCCATACGCCCCATGACAAACATCCCATGTCGTTTACCCTTCCGTAATGTCTTCCATCGGTCCTCACCATCCAGGACGTCCTCCCTCTAATCGTAGTCTTCATCATACGAATCACTCTCACTCTCACCCTCACTCACTCCCACACCCGGCCCCGGAACAAAACGGTACCCATTATGCACTCCAAACGGCGTCAAGAACTTGCTCATCAGCTTCTTCCAGTTGAACTGCACCCTTCGACCATCATCCAAAACCTCCAGACCCTTCAGCACGATCACGCTCTCGCTTGTCCACATATCTTCTTCGGGTCCGTCCTCAAGAGTTTGTTCCTTGTAGCGAATCGCCAAGCCAAGTCGTCCTGGTCCCCCCTTCCCTCTCAACACTTTTCCCCAGTTGGCTTTTTTTGTTGTTGTTGTTGTTGTTATTTTAACGTCTACTTCCGCCTCCCGTAGGGCATGAGACGTGCCACATCGGTGAATCTCGCGTACAAAGATAAGAGCAGTGTCCTAAATGTCCACCAAAAGAGCATTAACCCGAGGGCAACCCGAGGCCTATTGCCAGTATAAATCATGTGTTGCCCGTAGCGCAAACGCGGCCCAACACCTCCAATTGAATCGCCCAGTGGGCGAGAGTTTTTCCCCAGTTGGCTTTGACACGAGGGAGGATCTTGGGCACGTCACCATATGTTCTCGACGGGGTCGTTCCATAGATGTCTCTGCGAGCTGACCGCATCGGACCTCGTAAGAACGTGACCTTCTCCTCTAGATCTGTACCATCATCCCCGCCTTCTTCCTTGACTTCCACTTCCGGCAGCATGGTTGCAAAATCCTTGCCCTCGGGACATGATATATACCGGCAGTACATCATACGGTCCAGGTACAAGTACATCGTTAGCCTGCTCAGCCAGTGGTCGCGGTAGTGACGCTCAATGCGGGACTTTTGAGCGCTGAAGAGCGGGATGTGGCGGTACTTGTCACACGGACATTGCCCACAC